CGTTACTTTTCATCTTTTTCAAATCTATCTAAAACAGTTTTTGGACCTAGTCATATATAGTTTTGTAGAGAATTTCAAGCGCTATCTTTTGATAAAAAAATGTTTCAAACATGGGGGTAATAGAGGAGAAACTTCAAAAATACTAAGAATATAATTTATTCTGCGCCACCCGTTATTTTAAAAACAAAACCATCAGATATTGCTTTTGTCAAAATTTGATTTGTTAAATTATTAATGTCAAATTCTTCTTTTAGTTCAAATGTACGAATTGATGGAGTCTTATTGGAATAAACATTCTAATAAATAAGAAATGTTTGCTTTGTTTGCCTGAGATTTTAACATGGAAAAATCCGAAGGATGAAGTACGTCTTTCATTATTGACTGTTATTTACGAAGATTTCGTAAAGACTTTTTATATGGTAAGTCACATTTTCTATGAGCCATAATAAAATAGGAAAAAAAAGAAAACTTCATCTCCTTCTATCTTTTATATTTGTCATTCGATATGCAACGCTTGGTGAAGATATGAGTGGGATTGAATTGTAAAGCTTTTACTTTTTTCTCTTAGAAAACACAAGTGATGGCTTAAAGAAAACTAAATCACTATTAAGAGAAATTCCGTCATCAAATTTACACTGCAGATCTTCCGGATTAATCTGAGACAGTCAATATTGAGACAGAAGCTTTCGAGATATTTTTGGAGAAATATAGAATTTTTCTTTTCTACAAGAAATACAAGAAAAATTTTCGTCTCTACTGAAAAAGAAATTTGATACGAAGTGTCACATCCTTTGCTCTTGTGGAGACAATCTTAGACTTTCAGCTTTTGTGGGGTTATTTCGATAAAAATAACTCTTGTCAAATCGATTATTGTAGAAAAAGATTATGTATCATGAAAGAAATAAGCAATAAAAAATGTTTGATTCAGTTTTGTCCAGTTGAAGTTCAATCTAGTGACGAAATCAGAAAACAAGTTGTAGACGACCCAGTTCCTTGGTCATATAAGTGGAGTGTACCGAGATATGTTGCAACACTTCTGAAGAGGGTCAAGTCCCTTTTTAACCGAAACTCATCCAATGGTAGAAGTAAGATGAAAACTTTCTATGTGGGAACAACATATGCCCACATCCACATTGAATATGATTTCAGTCAAAATTAATAACATATTCCGAATCAGCGTTGAACATTGTCAACTTATGAGCCTTTTAAGCTTTTTTTTGAGAATTGTTTTCGTCGAAAAGTCCATCTCTGATTCATTCAGAGTTTACTGAAAATTTATTTGCAGGGCAACCTTTTTCTACTGAAGCAGTTTCAATTGTTAATTCTTTTAGATTTTGAGATCAGTGGATTTGATGTAATAAATCTAAATAGTATAATTATATTGAAATTTCAATAGACACTTGGGAATCTTCCCTTCTTAGTCAAAAAAAGAAACCAATAGATATAAAATAAGACGCGAAAATAAGAATGTCGGTGTGCGTACCCACGTTCATATCCCCATTATCAATTCATGCTCGGCATTATTTTATGTTCTTAATTTGACAATTTTGTCAGTCAATACTAAAATCAACCATGTTTTTCGTTTCAGCAGAGAATATTTATAACCTATAGTAAACATGAAGTATACCGAATGACGATAAATTCTATGACAAAAGCTGTTAGTGTAATCCCTTGCGGAATTAAAAATGTGAAACACGACGGCTCTACATTTACTAATTGAATACAAAATCTTTCGTTGAACTATGTTGCGGTACATTTGTAGCTAACCGTTTATCTGACGCTTTACAACTACAGCTTCTCTGTCACGGTCTGTGATGGGTACCTGGATTCTTTGTCACGGCCTGTGATGGGTATCCGGATTCTCTGTCACGGTCTGTGATGGGTACCTTGATTCTCTGTCACGGTCTCTGATGGGTACCTGAATTATCTGTCACGGTCTGTGGGGGAAAGTGGGTTCAAAATTTCTACCCTATACACTTCATCACTCCTTTCAGATCGTGTTTCACAAAATTGTAAAGAAAAATTAACAGAAAGATTCAAGATAAGTATTTTTTCGCCCAGTCCTATTTAATTTAATAGGCGAAGAAAAATATTGAATTTGTGCTTAGGTTACTATTTTTTCCACACAGCCGAAGTATTCTCTATCGATTTATATTAAAAGCAAATATTTTTTGCGCCGTTTGGGTTTTTGAAAATTCATTTTTTTTTCAAAAGCTCAGTATCTCACAAAACAATCTTTTGTGCGTTTTTTTCTGATTAAGTATGTCCTTATGTCTTTTTCTTTCAAATGAGTCAAGATTATTCACAACATCATCCAGAGTCTTCTTCAATTACTATTTGCCAGCTTGTTCTTCTTTTCTTTTCTGTTCCTATGAAGAAAAGACGACACAAATGAAGCGAAGAAATAAAACTCCACTAAAAAATTATATTCGCTGAATGAGTAAAAAGTCCATTAAATTCCTTAGAGAATCAACATGCCGTGATGAATTCATTTTGTTTATCACTCGAAAAATTAAAAGAATCCTGATGCTTTTTTTAAATAACGTTACTCCTCAGTCATGAATAATGCTGTTATTCTTCTGTCTTTCTTTCTTGCATACTTCCATGTAATTACCTTAGGTAATCGAAAGATAAATTTACTCAACATTTGAAATCGACAGTAGAGAACAAGGATGAAAATAAGAATCACAAGAGAGGACAAAAATTGAAAAGGGGCGTTACTTAGAAAAAAACCAGCGGCTTTCATTCCGTGATTCTTACGAAATACACTCGATCATTGATCAAATCAAAACGGTCACCAAACGTTGAAGACTTAATTTAAACGTACGTAGATTACTGCATCATTCCACTTTTCTGCACTATTAACAAAGATAGTTATTATTCACATTTTTTGAGAAAAAGAATAACAATGGCTGAATTCACAAATGAAGGCGATACAAAGCTCAATAAGAATATGAGACTTTTCTTTTTTTATTACCAAAAATTTCGTTTTTGAAAAGATATTACTCATACAAAGTACGTAGATAATTTTAGCACACTATCCGACTATGTCCAGTTCCGACTTTGTTCCTGATCTTTGTTGGGTATCTAAAAAGTTGTGTTGGATGCGAAATTTGTTCTCTATCGAATGATACGACTTTTAAGGAGGATCATCCGACAAAAATTAGGAGTTGATCCAAGATACTGGACTTTCGAGTCGATTCAGGCGGTAATTATAGTTCAGATTGGTTCTTTGATCTGCGTTGAGCCTTCAACCCACTTATGTTAGATACAGAATTTCATTCTCTATCGAATGGTACCAATTTTGATAGGACCTTCGGACTAAAATTTTTCTTTAGGTGTGCTTCTCGGTATGAGTGTGGGGATATTGTGTTGCAACATATAATATCTAATGTTTAAATAGTCATTCTTTTACAGATTCATTGATCTATTTACACCAATATGTACTTCTCTTCTCGTATTTATGTACACGTTTGTGTCACAGCCATCTTCCTAACTATTCGTCAACCATCACTCACTGTCTTCGGTTTCGAAGTGGCCAAATTGATGGTTACAAACATCACTTCAAATGCTCAAATGGATTTGTTGATTTCAGCCAAGAATAATGGTTGTGATGTTCAATTTGCCTTCAGCAGCACATCTCACATCAATGGTTAGTGGTGTGTCAGACTATATGACAGCACTGTCCTGACAAATATGCACCACGTGTGTACCGATAAAGATATTGGACTAGTTTGGCGCTGGAATTACGAGGAGTGTCGATCCGATCTGAATTGTTGCAGAATTGAATAATCTTGGGAGATAGATATCCGTTGGTGGCATGATAATGCTTTCTGTTTGCCGAAAACCTCAAAAGTAGAGCTGCTGTAGCCATTTTGTGGCCCTCTAAAGGTGATGGTTGGTCTTGTATCGGAGTACCATTGGATGATTTTACAAATAATTTTCTATGCTGGCGAACACACAAAAGGGATTAAATGTATCTTTCAAGACTTCCTCTCTCCCTGACTCTATATCTTCATTTTTTTGCTTTCCCATATTTTATCTGACCCATCGGTTCTCCTTGTTGGGTGATACTTATAGAGAGACGAACCAGCACAAGAATAAACCGTCTGCACTGGTTTTATCTATATTTGTGGATTAATTTTCTTAAACATTCTTACAAGTGTTTACAGCAACACCAAGACAGAAAACTGGACCCTGTATCCCAGATCCCACGCGATCTCGCCGAGGTTCACCGGGTCTCACTGTGGTCCAGAGGTTGTAAAACCCCCTAGATGTTTCGATTCTTGATTTTTCTTGTTTTGTCAAGTGCACGCTCCATGTCTCTAGTGCTTATTAGATATCGGTCAAATGCCATGATGCATTTTGGAAAAGCTAATGTTGAGAGTATCTGTTGAAGGCAATTTCAACAATGATACTCTTTGTAACTTATGGAAGCAAGTACGACAAGTGAACGGAATACATTGACTGCTTTCTTGAGAATATCACCAATTGATTTTTCTCAAAATTACTTCCAGATATGCATCTCAAACAAAATTTTACAGCATTCTGAGTGATGAAATTACATCCAAAAGAAGCGAACATTGAATGTTTCCCAATAGATTAAAAATCGAAGGGACCGATGTAGGGATCAAATTACACACATGCCCACACCCACACCTTTAAGATAGATAATCATTCTCGTCCTTCGGAGAAAGAAAATATTGAAGTACATGAATTCCGTGAAAGAGTAAAACAATGAACAGTGAGTCAAGTGACACCATTTTCTCATATTTACGATGAAGAGTATGCAACCTTGATGCTGTCAGTTCCGACAATAGCCATATTACCAAGTGAACGGAAAATGAGTAAGAAAACTAGTTTTTGTGTGTGATCGTACTTCGTGAATTTTTTGTAGGTTTTCACATAGTGTAATCAGTAAAACACGTCCGCCTGTCGCACCCATTATACCATCGACACAATCGTTTTGTATTCCAGATCTTTTTACAAAGGCATTGGAATTACAATGCCAAAAAAATCGGTGATTAATAATTGCCGATTTTTGCGCCTGATCGTATTCTTTGTTACTTGATGATCGGAAATTTCCATCTGCTAGGTGTACTGTTCGAGATCCGATCACGATGGTTTTCGACTTCCCGGTCGAGTTATAGGTTAGACTTGTTTTGAAGGTTTTCCAACATAGAATCGCTCGGAACTGACATTAGATTCGTGTTCTCCATGCTCGAAAACCCCATATCTTTAACACTTGTAGAACTCATCAGAGATCGAGTCGATCCAATGGAGAAAAAACTCATTGATGGTTGTGAGTGAAATATGAGTCGGGCTTTACGACGCTCTCCGTTGATATTCCGGTCTCTTGTGTTCCGCACCAGAATGCAGAAATCAACGATTAACCGAATCCAACGGAAAACTCGCCCATTATTGCGCTTTTTCCGATTAGTCGTGAAAAGTGTCGCGATTTTTTCGGCTTGTGAAAATAAGGATTTTTCGATATTTTTTTCTCTTTCGGCCTTTCTACAGCATCCCGTTCTATCTACTCACTCATTACTTTAAAAGGACCCATAGAGCGTGACTATACAAAGATTTAATTTTCTGTCTAGTATAATTCAATATAATTGATCAAATATATCAAATTCTGTCGAAGCTTGTTAATCTTAATCTATTCTACAATGCACAACAATAATCGACATCGACATTAGTAGAAGAACGTCAATAAACTTGTCTTTACATTCTACTCTTAACGATGAGACTAACTATCGTTGTCTTTTATAATGATTTAGCTGAATATACGACAGCAGTGACTATTATCCAACCGACACAAACAATCTACGAACAACTGCTACAATCTCAAGGTGCATCGGCTCTCACATGCCCATGCTCTGAAATGGCCATCGGTTACGAATCATTTGTTCGAATAAATACATCACTTCATCAGATATTTACAAGTGCATTTATCGAAGATAATTGGATCACTAGTTTAACTGATAATAATGGCGATTGGTCGAATTCAACTGATAGTAACGATTTTCGTGTGCAAGATGTCAGCTATTTTACAATGCTTCGTACTCTTTGTTCACTTTTCGAATTGTTAGTGGATGCTGCAAAAAATGCTTCACTTGCTACATCCATGTTCAGTTCACAAATTTTACCATCAGAGCAACTTTTCTCACAAGTTAATTCCGATCTAACTTGGCTAAAAAACTATCAAACAACTACAGTAGTTCTATCATTCAACTTATTCGAGCTGTAAGTCAGGGTAGTCTATTGTTGACTGTTTATTCGTTAAATTGGATCTACAAATGGAGTTCAACAACTACCACCAGTCGTCTGATATCAACATAAGCTGTATCACATGGAAATTGTTCATGCGCCATTTCATCTGCTTGCATCGAATCAGTCATGTTGAATAACCAGCCAGTGCCCGATTTCGTTCTTGCTTGCTCTCCGGTCGAGTCACTTTTGCGATCCAATGTCACCTGTCTTGATCGAATTAATCTTGGTCGTTTGCCAGTAACACCATTGAATGCATATGCACCAAGCCAATTTGCATTGGACGCAACTGTCGATGAGATAAGAATGAATACTTTCATGGAACAGTGGACTGCCAATATTTCATATTCGGATTTTTTCACTACATGTCACCCATTGACATGTCAATATTCACTATCGAAACGAAATAATGCTCTTTATATTGTTATCGCTTTCTTGGATCTCTACAGTAGTTTTACAATGGTTTTACGGTTTATCACACCTTATATTATTATTATTGTTGGTAAATTAATTAAAAAGTGTCAAAAACGTAACAATGTAGCGAACCAAGAAATATTCGTTGCTCCATTGATGCCAGTCAACAATGGATCGGACAGAGAATATTGACTTTATTCTTACTGGTTTGCAGAGGTGTAGAATCTTCCAAAAAATCAAAACTTCCCCAACCGCGGAATTTTTTTCCGCAAATTTTCTCACGTTGTTTTTTCACCAACCACAGACCTACTTTATTTCAAGCAAAAACTCAAGCAAAAACACAAGTAAAAACATGCAACAGTTTTTTTCCTTTCGTTACTGTTCGTACGACATCGGAATTCTTTATACTTGTTCTTTTCTCAAGCGGTTCAAAACAACCGAACCAGGTGAAACTAATTTGAATGCATGGTACTGTTCTATTTTTTAAAGAAAATCCAATGTTTGTCTTTCAATTGAAAGAAGTAGTTGTCGACGGAGGGCTTTATGAAAGGATCTGCTAAATGGAGCGATGGTGCATTCCAATATAACATCACTTCTTCATCTAAAGACTCATGATCGAGAGCTCGATTGCAATGAATGGGTTGCTTCAAGATTGACGATGCACCCTCGCAGACAGCTTCACTTCTGATTTCAATGTTTCCCCTCATAACATTTTTTCAAGAATTCCTCCGTTAAAACTATTCTTCAAATTTTTTCTGTTATAACAGATATCGAAAGTTTCCCCATCGTAAATGATTTTCAAAATTTCTCTGCTCGCGCAGGGGCGCATGAGGAAGATTTAGTACCTCTGCTGGTTTGTGTAATTGTGTGTTGTAAAATCTCTCAATAAATATCACTGCATTTAAACATGTACCGTAAGGATGATGACCTATTTATTCAACGACTGATATTAAAACATTCCGTCTAAAACAATTATGCGGCGATTAAATGCAATTTACCAATTGGAATTCCAGTGCTTCACAAAAATAATTCCGTTCCATCTGCTTAATGACGTATCAATTGTCGAGAAATTATCTCTTAACAGATGATATTAGAATAAGTAAGTTGAACAAGAGGACGCACCTATTGAGACTATTCAATCGGTCGTTACATCATACTTTCATTCCACGATATGGTGGCTACATCAATCCATTGATTATTGTGTATCGTAAATAATATGACATTAACGCCAAGAATATATGTTTTCTTTTTTCTCAAATTATTTAGTATAATCTACGATGAATACACATTCGTACAAATCTCGAGGCCTGTTGTGTTCAAACGGAAAATGATAGAAGCTTCAATTTTTCGCTCACAGATAGAGCAAAGTATGTACTTTACAATAAAATATAGAATGTAGTTTAAGACATTCAATTTTAATTTGTTTAAACCCCTAAAATGGCTTGTTACCAAGGTAAATTTTTTTCGCACTTTTTCATCTTTTAACTTGCATTGTGTTGACTAAAAAAGAAAACTGTGCACTCTAGGCATTCTGAAAATCGATTTGCTATTTTTCTAGTGAAACCTTTTAACACTTGTAAAAACATAAATCTTGTAAAGATACCCAAAACATGCAATATTTCGAGCCCTACAAGAATATGTATGAAATATTAGAAAAAGACATTCTATTTAGCTCGTACATGATGAAACATAGAATTCGTACAAAATAGCATTTTTGTACCAATTTAGATATAACTAGAGATTGTAATAACTAGGAAGGGCTACATCTGTTTGACTTAATCTTTTTTTCCAATCAAAGCTACATAGCTGCTCAAAATTAATATCCTATTTCAAAGCATTAAAACAAACACATAGACAAAATATGAAAGAATTCCTGATTTTATCTTGGTAACAAGCCATTTTTAGTGGCTTAAAAACGTTAAAATTTAATGCCTTAAACTACACCCTAGATTTTATTGTAAATATGCATTTTTCAAGTACATACTTTGCTCTATATGTGAGTGAAAAATTTAGGCTTCTAGTAGTTTTCGTTCGAATACAACAGGCTTCGATATTTGTACGGATACGCCTGCATCGTAGGTTACATATCGCAATACAGAAATGATATATGATAGTTAGAATTACTGCGTGAGTCACCATATTTCTTTCTGTACCTTGCGGTTGAACAAATCACATATGTCAAATCCGAAATCTTGTTACAGATATAACATCTGAAATCAGATATTCAGATACTCAATAAGATATTCACACATGCCATTGAAATTTATAAGATTCTCCAGAGCTTGACACTAGAGTAATCGGGCTTGCGGAATTACTAATTATTAATTATTAATTATTAAAAATGGTATCCGAAAAGGCGAGTGTTGCTCCACATGAGGGTGTCTCGAAATACTGACCAGTGGGCATCTCTCTCGATGAGGAGATTAGTGAAAAGCCGAAAACCCGAGCCGGATTTTTGACTTCTACGCTACTAAAAATATCGACGATTCGTAATAGTCAGGTGCATCCATCATCGCATACGATTTCAAAGAATTGTACTAATCAAGAATCAACTTCAAAAAAATAACAGATGAACCCCGGACTCGCAACATATCAAGTCCTGTTTTCGCATCACCCACATCTCCGTTGGTCACAGTCACGGCACAAACTTGTATTGAATAACCAAGCGTATCGAAAAAAGTGTTCAAAAACATCAACAATCAGGATAATCGGCGCCAAAAAACATTGAATTAAAGTTAGCGATTTTTGCTATTCAATGGCCACGTTTTTCTTGAACATATATCCTGACTATGTTGGAAGAGCAAGACAAAAATTGTTAGTTTTTGAATTTTGGTGCTTCAACAAGATCGTGACCAAAAATCAATCACGATAATTCTTCGGGTTTAGTCACGCTGGGCTCTAGTTTGCATGCAACATTAATGTTCACCTGACAGTGATCTTATTACAGCTCATTGTTTCATACAATGTCAATGAATAGCTCTATCAAATCTATGCGACTAAGCTATGCTCATCGAACAAGATACTTTTTCGGAAGCTCTCTCTTTGAAAAAGTAAACATTAGAAATAAGGCATTCCAAAATATTCGTTCACTGAATTAAACTTGCTCTGTTCTTGCGATTGTTGATTCAGTCGTCCAATCTCTGCTGTTGGATAGAGCCATTCTTTCAAGTTCTCTTGACGAGCCATATATTCAAGGGCGTAGGCAGCTGCTTGTACCATCTTTTCATAGGCAAATACGTTGATATTCCATATTGAGTCGCAGGCCTTGTGATAGCATGCATCTAGAGCAGCATTTGGTATACAAGTTGGATCGGGGCCGAGAAGTACAGCATAACGATCACATTGTTCTTGTCTTTTGATCGTGCCTGCTCCACTGACGAGTCCACCGATGGCGATACCAGCTGCCAAAAAAGGCACATAATCACTGCCACCATGCAAAGGAATATTGTCTCGGGGCAAGTTTTGCATATTAAACCATTCGTGAAACAGTTCTGTAATCTTTCTACTGCCTGGAATAGCGGTTGACGGTGTGACATTACCAAGTGTTCGACCATCATAAATTCCAAAGATGTAATTAGGAGAGCCAAGCATGTCAAAATTGAGATTCACTAAGTTGTCAGCAATGCGCTCACCTGGAACAGTGGAATTTTTAGCTTGTTTAATGTAAAAATCCGAACCAAGAAGTCCAATTTCTTCAGCGCCCCACCAACAGAAACGAATGCGATATTGGTACTTTGCATAGCTCGATGTTTGAAAGAGACGTGCGAGTGCGACAGCCAATGCCAGATTGGCCGCACTGCCACTGCCTGCAGTGAGCGAGATAGAAACATTTGTATCCTCTTCACGATATTTTCACTTACCGTTATCATTGATACCAGGTCCAGCTGGTACACTATCACTGTGACTGCCGACAACAATCGTCTGAGTGATGTCTCCTGTTGGTGTATCAGCACAGATGTTACCCACAGGATAAGGTGGTATGTCAATTAAATCGATGACGATGCGAACACTTGCATTTACCGACAGATTTACACTTGCATCAGCAAGTGCTTGGCCAAGGTTGGACGAGAGAAAGAGTGCTGGCAACGCATTCCTCTGATCCAGACTGATAGCAATCGGCTGAACGCGATCAGGTGATACGCCATCATTGTATATCAGAAGAGCGGTTACATTATAATTGGCAGCAAGCAACGCCTTCTGCTCAAAGTCGCAAATGCCTCGTTTGATCAGTACTGCTCGACTAGCTGGCGGTGGATTTGCCACTATCCAGTCCGCATCAGAACAACCTGAATTTGGGATCGCAGTGAGTGAAACATAATCAGAAAAATTGGCTGATGTCGAATAGACAATATGATAGAAGTCGGCTTTCGAAAGATCAGTTGAATATATGTAATTGCTGATAGCGCCATTGATTGACGATACAAAGATTGGATTGCGAGCGAGTTGAAAGTTTCTTATTGGAAAATACCTCTTGGTTACATTATAATTCGTGTTGGCAGAAAGATAATCAGTAATATAGTCGAGTGTTCGATTGAAACCGCGTGTGTTGATAGCTCGAGTGCCATTTTCTGCGATGGCAATACGTTGCAATTCTTTGAGGTGTCCCATTACATCGGCAATGTGAACTAATTCGGCCAGAGTCAAATTGAGAGAGCTGTGACTCGTCGTACTAGTTGTGATGGATGGATCTGTGGTCAGATGTTGAGTACCATCATTATTTTTTATCTCATTGAATCGTTTATTAATTATGTGAAGACTGGCAGCGTTCAGTGCAATTGAAACTAATATGAGTAGACCAATCACACTGATCGTAACACACATAAACCACGTGGACAATCCGCCAGAAGTCATTGTCATGAGTCGCGAAAAAAGAGAACAGTTTGCTACTAGAATACAAATCACCTTACCAGTAGCAAACTGTCGTTCTTATCGGCTGCCATAAAAATTTATTGTTATTAACAATTGCTTGTCGCTGTAGATTACAGCTCTAAAACACGACGATTGAGGGGCTGTAGAATTCAGAATTGAAAAAATAGGAATTCGATAAAGAGCGGATAGTCTCGGTCATAGAAATGTATACAAACAATCAAAGCCCTAATCACTGTCTCAGAGCCAACGCACCATCATGAACCAGAATTTTGCTGAGAATTAAAAAATGTCAGCAGAATTCTGGATGCGCGAAAGGGTGAGCCAATCTGCACGAGGATCATGTAAATCAACAGAATTCTGAACGCGAACCGAATTATAAATCATACCGGCCAACCTTCTTGATGTCTCGTAACTGACGATTGTTAATACGGGATTTTTTTCTAAGTGTCCAAAATTCTGAATTCTGCAACTGCTGAGGATGTGGCTATGGGTGGGTGTAGGTGTGGGTGGTGTGGGTATGGGTGGCTAGAGTATGAATCTCTCTCTTGGGTTGTCGTTGGCAACACTCACACCCTTGAAGGGCGGCTCAGAAAAAACGTTTTCGCAAAATCCATCGCAAAAATGTTTTTATAAAAACTCATCATTTAGATCCACTGTAATCCCCATATATTTCTCCTGAGTCTCATCCTGTAAAGCTGAGATAGAACATACTGGAAAATTCTGGATTTGCATCTAATCAATGTATCGATTGAACATTATATAACAGCGTCAATAACGTTCTGAAATGCGATTAAGGACCGTAGACAGTAAATTTTTTCCCAGGAAGAAGGAGAGTGAACACCAATAGGAAAATGAGTTTTTGATTAGGACGAATGGCTTTTGGTCCGTATCCCCCTTCGGATGTCTTTTTGCCAAACGGGTATCCAGACACCCCTTGTACTCCTCTTGGCTAAGGATATGATGAGACTGGTCCGTTTTTTGACTCAATCGAATTCGATTCGGTAGAAGATTTTTTCGGTCCGGTTCGGTTCGGCTCGAAAAGAATGGCAACCGATCCCATCTCTGATTGATATTACAAGGAATGTTGCATGAAACTGTACGGTGCCTTTACGAATTTTGCTTCAAACTTGACATAGTACTTTATCAATACCTATCGAATTTCATCTTGGTTTATTCGTGAAATAATCATTGCTTAGAATTTAATATTCGGTACCTACAATGTAAAGTCATCAAAAATTTCATACATCTTCTAAATTACTTATGAGTCATTGGCTCTTGACATCATTCTATTTCTGTTGGATGACGGGTATAATGTGTACCATTCTGTACAACATTGCAAGCAATTCTTCTTTTCTGTTCATTGGCAGATGTATTCGTTCTCTGTTTCATACACAAGATTTTTTCCCGGTTTGTCATAGAATATATTCAATTCTTATGCGATATTATAATGCTTTATAAAAATGAGAGACAATACAGTTAAATTTGGGTAAAAGTTACAGTGTGATTTCACAATATAACTCGATATTGCCCACCTTTTACTTCTCTCTTTGAAAGCCCTATTCTCTATATATATGTTGTAGGCAAAATTGGAATTCGGGCGAATTCGGAATTTGCCTAGGCAAAATTGGAATTCTAATTCTGCCCGGTCAAAATCAGAATCCTAATATTGACTAGCGTTTTGTTGGGCAGAATTGGAATTCTAATTCTGCCTGGACGAAATCAGAATTCTAATATTGACCAGTTTTTTTTTCAGGCAAAATTGGAATTCTAATCCTGCCCGGACAAAATTAGAATCTGACTAGAGATAAATGCATAGACATGTGTTTTAGTAAACGTACAGTAGATGAAAAAAAAAAGAGAAAATCGTAATAAAGACCGACATGTTGATAATCAGTATAAATATAGAGATACGTGTTACATACAATCTTATAAAAAATGTCTCAATCGGATTCAACAACTGTCGAAGTGGAAAGTGGAGAATTACTTTATTATAAAGAATTAGAAAAACATTAATTTTTTCAGTGAAAGGTTTCGAGCAAAAAGTGTTATAAAACAATATGTTTATGATGATATTGTTAAATGTTTATTATTACCGAAGGAAAATCATCAGATTTGGGCTTGTAATTGTAAAATGTTTAGAAAAAAAGATTTTGTTGAATAAAATATAGTTATAGCACTAAGATTTTGATTATTTTCTTTTTAAGAATTTATCTCTAGTCAGATTCTAATTTTGCCCGGGCAGAATTAGAATTCCAATTTTGCCTGAAAAAAAACTGGTCAATATTAGAATTCTGATTTCGCCCGGGCAGAATTAGAATTCCAATTCTGTCCAACAAAACGCTAGTCAATACTAGGATTCTGATTTTGACCGGGCAGAATTAGAATTCCAATTTTGCCTAGGCAAATTCTGAATTTGCCCGAATTCCAATTTTGCCTACAACATATACATCCTTTCATTATATTAAAGAACAGTATTCATCAGTATAACCAATAAATCAGTCATTATATTAAATAATAGTCTCTATCATTACTATTCCAAAATGGTTTGGATATGTTATGCATGTGAAAAAAGCCTACATGAATTTTGTCGGAATAGGTGGGCGTGTCATTGTTAATGCAATGTGAATGGCACTGTTGATGTCACATAAAAAAATCTAGCTATTAGTGGAGGAGTAGCATTAACCATTGGTGATTTAACTTTCACTATATCTACCGGTGGTTTAGGAGGTGCTCTTATCGGTAGTGCATTGTTAGGCACTGGAATTAGTTCAACTCGCAATGGTGCTGAAAAAAGCAATCCAAGGTGAAAGAATCAATGGCAAAGCATATGCTGCTGATGTTGCTTTTGATGTTGCAGGTAAAACAGTAGCTGTTAATATTGTTAAACAAGGTGCTAAAGAAGTTGCAAAAGCTGGAGCACAAAAATTAGCTGTACTAGCTGCTACTGGTGTTGTGACTGAAGTCACTGCAAAACCAATCGATGAAGTTAAATCAGCGTGTACGGTTAGGGAGGGAAAGGTGGGGAATTACCCATCTCTAAATTTTTTTCTCCACTATAGCTTTCTCCTTGCAAATTTTCTTTAGAAGCACTTAGCAGATTATACAATTTTAGTGAACCGAATGAGCTGTGCAAAAGGCAACCATTTATTTTCTCTCAGACAGAATGCTTTCACTCAATGCCGCAAGAAAAACCAGTTGTTGTCGTTTCATCAACACAATTAATCTACTTGCCCATGTCGCAAAAACCGGATCATTTTTAGCGGTAAACCACGGTTTACCAACTAGAAGCAGGTAAACCGAAAAAAAACCGCGGTTAACAGGAAAAATCGCCGGTTTTCTTTCGGTTTTCACTACATGGGTAGAAGCTGAGCAAAACTGATGCATTTCCTCTTCAAGTCCTAAATACTTCCTCTTTGAGATCATAGTATTTTCTCCTTTGATACAAACAATTTTTGCTTTTCAATCAATGCATTTTCTCTTCGAGTCTGAACTATTATTTCTTTGAACCTGATTCATTCTCTCTTGGGCTTTGATTTATTTTCTTTTTAGATCCAAGATATTTTCTCATTAGGCCCATAGCATTTTCTTTTCAAATCTGGTTCATATTATCTTTAGATCCCAACTATGTTTTCTGAAATTGATTCATTTTCTCTTTGGATCTGAACTATTATCTCTTTGAAACTGATCCATTTTCTGCTTGGATGATCTAAAGAGAAAATAGTTCAGACTAAAAGAAATATTGAGTCAGTTTCGCTCAGCTGTTTAGTGGACTAACTTTCTTGATGAAAAAACGACTGGTTTGCCTTGAGATATCGAGTGAAGGCTTTCTAGTTGACGAGGGACCGTTTTTAAGTGCCAAATTGCTTTTGAGTTCGGACTCTGTGCATAAGGTAGATCCCACTGATGTATGAAAAATCCTACAAGAAGAAATCTCCTTAGACCCTATGTACAAGTTTATAGGCATTTTATTGCAATTTTATCCTATGGCATGCTGTACACAAACAAATCGAATGATGGTATTTCGAGCTGAGGTGCAATTTATTAACAGGTCAAGTAGAGAGCAAAATGTCCTGAAAATTTCAGCTCAAAAAAATTTTCTTCCCGAGATATTGAAGTGTTAAAAATCACTCATATTCTACGAAAGATGCTAGATTTGCCTGTTTTTTAAACTTTTAATATCTGGGGAAGAAAATATTCTTTTGAGCTAAAATTCTCAGAACAATTCACCCACTAATAGACCTGTTTTTGTACTAAATCACAGCTCAAATTATCGATACTCAGTTTGTCGGTACACATTGTGCCATCTCTAGTCGTAATTCTGTTCATTCCTTGAGAGATCCTGGAAGAATCTTTCAGGATGCTAGATCTCAAGGATCTTATCAAGTTTTCCTCAGCATCCTGCCTCAATTCCTGATAATTTCTGTCTACAAAATTTTTCATGTATGATCAGGACCCTGTTCAGGATTTCTTCAAGTTTCTGCCCAATTTTTTTTCTAAGTCATGAATGCATAATCCTACTAGGATTCTATCATGATTCTGCTTAGGATCTTTATAGAAATAATAGAGAGGATTCTTTCAAGATTTCATCAAGTTTTAGACAGCATCTGATCGGGATTCTTGTACAAGGATCCAGTCAACTATTTTAACTGAATCAGAGGAGGATCTCAACAAGAATCCAACAGAAGGGTGTATTAGTGACTGCGACTGTTAGTTAACATAAGATGAACCCGTATTCACACCCACAAGCACATCATACTTCTGCTAAGAAGCTTCATTGAATCCTGTTTCGATTTATGTGAGGATCTTGAAATTTCGTAGCTACATACTTCTTTTAGGATTTAGTCATTTCCTCAGGAAACAAGAGGGAATTCTTGAAGGATCTCGATTGGATCCGTTAAGAATTGGACACGGAAACAGCAAGGATTTTCTCAAGGGATATGCTAAAATAGCAGTAAAACGCCTATGAGTCTGAACATAAGGCTTAAGGTATTTTCTTCATATGGGTTTTTCATGCATCAATGAGGTCTAACTTATGCATAGTTCTAAGTCAAAAGCGATAAGGCAGTTCAGAACGGTCCCTCGTCAGAGAAAATAAATGGTTTCGTTTTGCATAGTTCATTCGGTTCACTAAGATATTATAATTCGCTAAATGCTTGTCAAGAAAATTTCTTAGCAGAACACCATAACGGAAGGAAAAATTTGGGAGGAGTGGTGAGGAGAAATTCCTAGTTCTCTTCCCCCTCTCCTGCCCCCGTTAATCAAATGGTCTGCAAGTTTCAACCGAGAATGTATTTTACTGTAAAAATCTAATCCAACGAGCTATGTCTCCCTAGCTTTGGGAGACTTTATCCCTTGAATCTCCCCCCCCCCCCCTAATCAAAATCAAACGAAAACTATGACTATAAATGTTTTGTTAATTATATAATACGTGTCCTGACAATAGGATAATTAAAATATTTATTTACAAACATCATAAACTATTCAAAAAAGAAATTGACTAAAAGGTTCTAATAAAATATTGAATTTTTTGCCTACAAATTGGACATGAATGAATTGCATATCCACAAGGAACACAGGCACATAAATGTCCACAAGGCATACATGCTAATTGTTTTTCTTCATTAAGACATATAAAACATTCATGTAACGATTGTTTTAATGATTGAGATAAATTATCTAATTGTTGATATTTTGATGAAATTATAATATTATCAGTAGAACCTTGAATAATTTCAATTTGTTTTTGAAAAATTGAACAACCCATTGATAAATCACTATCTGATTTAAAATCATCATTTTTGAGTTTTAATTAATCTTCAATACAACGTTTAATTATTTTTCATGGATATTGTGAATGAAGACGTTCAACTATAGGTACATCAAGTCTTGCTATAACTAAACGAGCAAGTTCATCTTTATCAATTTTATTTTCGTTTATGTTTAGTTTTTTTTTTCGATGCTTGAATTTTTTCATATAATTGCTTTCCACATAAATGTTTAGCATAAGTACAATGAGGAAACCAACGAGCATATTCAATCATAGGATTATCTTTTGGACCCCATTTATGTTTTGAACCATTACAATAAAAACATGTCATTGAATTGTTAACACCAGTAAAAAAGAATCCAGCACGAACTAAACTTTCAATACTTGGACAATTTTCTGTCCAATTAGCATTAGAAAATGTTTGTTCTCAACGTGATATTTCAGCCATTGTTGGATGAGATGGTTGAAATTTTTCTTCAAGTGTATCATTAATTATTTTCGGTGAATTATTTACTGAAGGCATTGAAATAACAAATGGACATTTTGGAGCAAGTCTTCTATGAACTTCAGCTGGATCATCATTATTTGTCCATTCATGACATATTGTATTACAATATATACAAATAACTCGATCATTAACATTACATGAAAACCAACCAGCAGATATCATTGATTCATTATTTGGTATAAAACGTGGCCAATGAGAAAGACTACGAATTCGAACTTCTCGTATTGTTTCTGATTCATTTAAAGAATATTTCTTTTTTTTCAATAATAAATTCTTGTTTTGGAATATTTGTTATTGAACTGAGAATTGTTTTCTGTTTCTCTATCTTACTTACAGAGGGGCAACCATCATCGACATAAGATTGTTTATTCAAGTCTTCAGTTTGAATAATGTCAGCAGTAGCCATATCGACACAATTTAACTAAATGATAGTAGAATAATGATGAAATGCATTATTATATTATTATGATCGACATGCTTCGATGAAATATCTCACATCATAATTTTTCATGATGACGATGCATTCAGAGAAGTAAGGAAAGAATCTTTTGTCGTGATTCATACGTCATTGTTGCGTCACTCAGCATGGGAGAAAAGAGGAAAACGGGCTCCCAGTTATATTTTTCATTTATCTTCTGACGAAACATTACTGTGCGCAGGATTATGTCACTTCNGAATAAAAGATACTATCGGACCAATCTGACGCGAAAAATTGTTCAGATGGTATGGGTTTAAAAATATGTGCATTTCATGAACAATGATAACTAACACTTCAATTTTTCATTGAGACCAGTTTTGATCAAATCTTCTGATTGAAAAAGTGTTTTTCATAGATATATTGCGGCTTATTCTCAGAAAATTCAGAAAAGTTTTTCTTTAAGCAGAGTAATTAGCGGGAAAATGCGAGTGAAACGTTCTCCTTTGCTGGAACTGTTCGCTAAAACTGATATATCCATGAAAAGTTTGAGTCAAGCGTTTCCTATGTTCTTCACAACAGAGAGTTTTCGTAAGAGTTCTCTTCATAACAGTCATTTATCAGGAAAGAGATGTTAAACAAATACATACCGTTATGGCTCATCGAAAAAATTTCAATTGAATCTCAGTGACAGAAACTAAAACGTCAAAAAAAAACAAACGATGGTCCTGTATTGAAATCGTGATATAGCTGATCAATTGAGTATGCAATAAAGTATGATAAAATAGAACATGTCTATTTAAATGACGTCATTATCTTGTACGCTTTACCTGTTGACGCTACTGACTACACCGTATATGTAGATTGTACATAAGTGACGTCAATATACATGTAATTTCTCTATAACATTAACAACTGTAGGGAAAAAAACAGGTCTGTTTCATGAATCAACATCATATGGTGTATTTTATTCATTTTTGTACTCACCTAGCATTGAATAACGAATATGACTATATAAACACACATTTTCTTGTCATCGAACACACAATTGTATCATGTATAGAGTAAAACTTCTTCTCATTATTTGGCTGCTATTTGTGAGCAGACTTGAATCTTATCGTCTTCGTCGGCAATCTTCATGTTCATGGGTAGGCCATTGTGCTGGTGACTCATGCTCATCAAACAGTGATTGCGATGGCACACTCGACTGCTCGAATGGTATATGTGATGGCGGTGTCACTGATGGTGGGACGACTGATGGTGCTGTCAGTGATAGTGGTACTACTGACGGTGCTGTCACTGATAGTGGTACCACTGATGATGCTGTCACTGATGGCGGTGGAACTGGTGGCAGTGGAACTGATACATCGTGTTCTCCGTCAGGTCAACTCACTGGTACAAGGTAAAGATATTTTTTTGAATATTAATGTAAGATATATCTTAATACTGTCGTCTTCTAGCACTTCTTGCAACACAGAAAATGAATCGACATGTTGCCAATCAGGTGTCGACTATCCACAATATACATGTTCGCCTTCGTCCGCAGGATCCACCTTGCTTACACTCAATAGTTTTCAAGAGGGTGGAGACGGTGGTGGTGGAGGAGCATGTGATGGCTCTTTTTATCCTGACTCGGAGCCCGTTGTAGCCTTATCGACAGGATGGTACAATGGTGGTAGTCGATGTGGACGCATAATCACAATTAATGGCAATGGGAGATCAACAACTGCTACCGTTGTAGACGAATGTGATTCAGTCCATGGATGTGATGCCGATCATGCTGGACAACCACCATGTCGTAACAACATTGTTGACGGATCGAAGGCCGTTTGGGACGCACTTGGAGTGTCTCAAGATGATCCAAGATATGGAGAGATGAGCATTACTTGGAACGACTAACATAGACAGAGCGAATGTTCTTACACAAGCATAACTTATCTAACCATCTATTATTATACACTATAAGCTGCTTCATATGTACATGTGACCATTTTCTTTTTCAATAAAATAAATAATTTCAAAATCTTCAGTGTAGAGTCGCGATCTAGTAATCGAACCATCGTTTTATGGAAAACAGAAAGATATGTTTCTCTTTTTGACTTTTATACGTGATCTCAGAGTAATGAGTAAATGGAAACTCTGCAAAAGTTGTTCGTCGAGTGATTAGCATTCTACATTCGATGGAAATCAATTGGCTGTAGAACGACGAGCAGTGTCACTTTGAATGTGAACGCGATGAAACAGTTTTTGCCCATAAGAAATATGTCTACATCGCGTTTTCGTAATGTGACAAGGTGAATAGTCAACGGCCGGATCAAAGCTGGCAAGATCGCGGTCAGAAAACCTACAAAGAATATCAGTGCGTTTGAGAGGAATTTTCAAATGAAACTTCTATATGGTTGAAAATGAAATCTGATGAAGAATAATTATGTCGGATGGTAGACTAGCAACGGACAAGAAGTAGAAAAGCTATTTCAATTTCCTTAAAATTAGTGTGTCCCTGGTGTGTTTAAAGAAAAAAGCTTTTATATTCTTTCACTGAACGCACAAATATGTGATGACTGACTAAAGTTTATGACTAACTCTGCTCTAAATATCTAGCAATAGATTTACTACAGCGACGAAAACAATATAGAAAGCGCATTAGCTAGCAGTTACGAAAATTTAACTCTCTAACATCTAATGAAACTGTTCAAATAGAGAACTACACTAATTTGCATCTAGTAACTCACCGAATGCATTCTTATGTAATAATCCCGTGACATTGTTCTCCTGTGATATAGTTGAGTATTTTCTGTGAACAAATTACTCTGTCATACCATAAGTACTGTTGAACGAATCATTAATCGAAATAGCTATCTGAATCTCATACAAAACTTTCCACTTTCACCAATGAGAATACTATCTCGACTCTGTTTTAACTACACGAGAAACTTTCATTGTCGTCAAATAATGAATTAGTAATTTAAAACAACATCAGCTTGTTTATTGAAATCATTGGCAAGTATTTTATTTTTGAATAGCCAATAGTGTCTAATTTGAAAACTGACCTTTCTGTTTTTTTAAGATTCTCTTCGTATAGCCAAATATTCAACTAGCCAGTGGAAAAACTTCCAAATCATAAAGAAAAGATTGACTCCACTGCCTGCATAATGATCAGTATGTGTCACGGTTCTTCAAGGTGCATTAGGCATCCCATTCCAACGTCAGCGATATAAACCGTTAATTACACGAAAAACAGTGGTTTTGAACAGTTGAATAAACGAATCGTTGGACTACATCGTTTAACACTTAAAATCGAGAAAGTTGTAGAGCTCGTGAATGCTCTGAATTGAAACTTAATTTACGGTGGCAAGCTTCGGCCAGATAAGAAAAAAAAGGATCTTTAAGCTTACGCTTGTTGAGTACTATTTTTTATTGATGTTTGTTTGTCTTCGAATTCTTTGACTTCTTCTCCGATCCAAAAAAACGAAGAACTTTTTGGCTTATGTATTCCCTGTGGTAGAAAAATAGCTGCCTTCTCTTGATGTGGATCTAAGAGTGAGATTGAGGGTAAGGGAATTTAGTCTTCCATACAATATCATTTTCAACATTTGTATCTTTGGACATTTTTATTTTCAACCAAAGATGAGAGAATCGTTCCCTCACTGAAAACGAAAATCAGAATTTATTTTTAAATAAAAGAAAATCATTTCGTAGTTTTGCGCCTAAATTCAAACGAATTATGCCTAAGTATGGTTTTGCCTGTACCATATTTAAACTTCGACAAATCAATTATGGGAGAGTTGAACAACTGAACTTAAGTGTCATTTATGATAGCAGATACATAACATCTACGTAGGATTCATTTTGAAATTTTTGTAAGATCATTATTTTTTGCATCACTTAAAGTCTTAATGAACACCCAGAATACAAGAAATCGAAAATCATTCTTATTGGAGTGCAACGTACTCAAATGTGAAAATCGTTGACTGATCAACTTCTTATTCAATCACACATCACTTCCATCACTTCTTTTCGAATTTTGCTCGGAGAACAATCGCAGAACAAACATATATTAACCAAAAGCTCTATAAAATTGTTATTGATAACCATGTTGTAAAAAGACTGATCTTTTAATATTTTTTTGTAAAGGCTTTCTAAAATGAAGCATAGGTGACATCACAAAGTCGGTCGTCGGTGTTCGAACAGGCCGCTATCTCCGACTACTCGGCTTTGCGTGTGATGCACGCATAATTTAATACTAGATGGTATTCGAGTTCTACTCGAATATGAAATACGGTGCGAAGCACAATGGTCATTTTTCAAAAAGCCGAAATTTCAAAACAATCGTTTTTACAATGCATCACACCACGTTTATCTCCAAATGATAATTATGTTGTACCCGACAAAAAGTTTTTTTGCAAACAAAAATACAAATTTTCATTTCGATCGATCAGCAGATCGAAGCAGAAGAGTAACTGGAAAGCAGACATGGCTAAATGCATTACTTCGAGAACTCTATGAAGGCGTGTCAACTTGTGTCTGTAGGACGATATCGGTTGGTCGTTTAATTATCTATATAATTCATTATTTATAATCGAGTGTATTTATAGCTGTTTTATACACCAGCAAAGAGGGTGACATCTAACTTTTGTCGCTTCCTTCAATGTAAATAACCCGAAACGAAAAAAAGATGAGGTCCTGAAAATTTGTTTTTTTTTGACATGCTATTAATTAGTGAAGGAAATGCCATGAGGAGAATTGAAAAAATACGGTATCTGTTGGATCTAGATACTTTCATATCACTTTAAATGAGTATTTTGTGATATTCGGCTGTCGAGATCATCATGACACAAAACGGTAACTTTGATGCTTACTGCGGAGTATCTCATCACGTGTAACTGTCTCAGGTAAAAGATGCAGGCCAAATCGCTGTTCTCTAGATCATCGCGGCAGAAAGTACAAATTTCATCACAGCGAAAACTGCGCAAAGTCTGGAGGCCCAATGCATGCACGAAGAACGACATAAATGCTTTGCTTCGCATCGTATTAATAAATATTCTTTCCACACTATTACCTAACAGTAGCCATTATCTCAACATCAAGAGTAATCATGAAGAATTACAAAACTACTAAAACAACCGGATGCGAAAACTCTATCTTCTTGTTTGTTGCCTAAAGATGCCGTGAAAAATTGTCAAGATAATATATGATAATTAACATTCGATATGCATCATTTCTACCACTTTATCCAGAAGTAGAGAGATTTGATAGATCAGAGTTGTTGCATAAGACATGCTTTAGAAGAAGACTATTTATACGATAACACCTTGAGTACAGTTAAGCTTCCTCCAGCACTATTTTATGCGTTTAGTACATAATTCTTGAGTCTAAATATTATCTGTTGTTGCACTTTGATTTTATGATTGTGGATGAATTTCTGATAGTTGATAATGAATGCTTTTAGGTTTTTCCATCTGAATTTATATATTATAATGCGGACATTGGTGCTATCTAATATCAAATATAACGACAAAATGAAACGGTATTAGGACTTTCTTTGTCAACAATAGTGATCGTGAAGGATTGTCAGCAATTATTATTTTTGCTTTCTCATCAGAAGCGATAATAAAAAATATAATCGCGCTCATTTGGACGATTCAACAAAGGTATCCATTAACTCACTGTTATAAAGGAGTTTTAAGTCTGAACAGAGTAAGTGACTTATCGAAGTATTATTGTTATGACGTCGGTATCATTAAAAACATGTTCTAGCTGCTTGATGTGAAACATATACCAACTTTTCTGTCGCCACTTGGGCAGTAGCAACAGCTGTTTGAGATTTCTTCTTGAACAAATTCAACATAAGTATAATATGACTTAGCTTTACCGTGGTGGAATTTGAAACGAATCCAAGTAAGTTAAGAGGTCGGTGTCGTTTATTTATATTGGAAAATTAGCTTGATTACTCAAGTCTGTGATTGAGCAATTCCCTCCAGAGTAAATGCAAGCCTGTTTCAATTGAAATACTCCTAAAAACTAAACAAAACGATATTGGTTAGAAGATTTATTTGCAGCGATGAAAATATGCTTTTGTGTTAAAATGATTTATGTTAATAGAATAACCAAGTCACTGAGAAGTCTGTGTGACTGTAAATGATTACGCACTTTTAATAGGAATTCTTGCCACTGACAAAAAATGACTTTGATAGAAAGAAAATTATTTTCTGCTTGACAAATATATTTTCTTCTAAAAAGAGCACGGAAAGTAAACCAATGCAGCTTTGTCTATAATAAATATAATACCACTCTACATATCGATGGTGCTTAGTCGTATTTGACCGATATTAAGGATAAGAAAGTCAACAAGGTTTGAAGCATCATTGTTTGACCAATGAAGTATTTCACTGTCAAGGGATATACGAAGTAAGCCTGATTCATGAAGACACGCTAACATGTTGGCAGTAATTTAATCATCATTAGACAAATAGAGTTTTGAATGATTTGGTTTAGCAATTCAAAATGCCTCACTCAACTATTATCCGATTCACCTATCATCCAACGAATCTTGCTAATAAAGCATAATCGCTTTCACTTTAATGTCCTGAAAGCTTCTATCAACAACTACTATATCATGTTCTGCAATCCACTTCAAAATTCCATCTTTGTTATTGATCGATATATCTTTTGCATGACTGCATCATTATTTGAAGTGAAAAGATAAATAAGGCTAATAAGCGAAATTCTGCGGTTTCAAAAAATCCGGGATCGAGAACAAAATGGAAGTGTACTTTTTAAAATATCTAGGAACCGGCAACATTAAATCATCAGATAGATGTAAGATTCTTAAATCTATGTCAAGAAATCTTCATTTTTTTTCATTCTTGAACTTAAAGATTTCAGTATATATTTTATAG